CTCAAAATATAAAGGCCATATATGACAAACCCAGTTAATATCATACTAAAAACATTCTCCTTAAGATCAGGAATAAGACGAGGATGCCCACTTACGCAACTTGTCTGTTCCCTTTCCCCCAATTCCCCAGCACTGTTCCCATCCCCCCAATTCCCCAAAAAAAAAAAAAAAAGAAAGAAAAAAGAAATAAAAGGCATCCAAATGGGAAAGGAAGAAAAAATACTGTCATTATTTGCAGATGACATGAAACTATATAGAGAGAATCCCAAAGATTCTGAGAAAAAACTATTAGAGCTGATAAATAAATTTAGTAAAATAGCAGGATACAAAATTAATATTCAGAAATTCATTGTATTTCTATACACCAATAATGAACTATCAGAAACAGCAATTAAGAAAACAACGCCATTTACAATTGCATCAAAAAAAATACTTAGGAATAAATTTAACCAAGGAAGTAAAAAACTTATACTCAGAAAATTATGACACTGAAGAATTAAAGAAGCTACAAATAAATGGAAACGTATACCATGCTCATGGATAGGAAGAATTAATATCGTTAAAATGTCCATACTACCCAAAGCAATATATAGATTCAATGCAATCCCTATCAAAATGCCAATGGCATTTTTCACAGAACTAGAACGAATAATACTAAAATTTTTTGGAACCAGAAAAGACCCCCCAATAGCCATGGCAATCCTGAGAAAGAAGAAAGTTGGAGGTATCACGCTACCTTATATCAAATTATACTACAAGGCCATAGTAATCAAAGCAGCATGATATTGGCATAAAAACAGATACAAGATCAATGGAACAGACTAGAGACACCAGAAATAAAGCCATTCCTATATGGTTATTTACTCTATGACAAAGGAAGCAAGAATTTACATTGGGGTAAAGTCAATCTATTCAATAAATGGTGCTGGGAACACTGGACAGATACAAGCAAAAAAATGAAGCTGGACCCCCTTTTTGCACCATATACAAGAATAAACTCAAATTGGATTAAAGGCTTAACTGTAAGACCCGAAACCATAAAACTCCTAGAAGAAAATATAGGAAATAAACTCTCAGACATTACCCTTCGTAATATTTTTACTGATATATCTCCTCGGGCACGGGAAACAAGAGAAAAAAACAAAGAAATGGAACTACATCAAACTAAAAAGGTTTTTCACAGCTAAGGAAACCATCAAGAAAATGAAAAAAACATCCTACTGAATGGGAGAAGATATATTTGCCAATGATACATCTGATAAGGGGTTAATATCCAAAATTTATAAAAAACTCATACAACTCAACACCAAAAAAACAATCCAATTAAAAAATGGGCAGAGGACATACAGATGGCCAATAGACATATGAAAAGATGTTCAATCTCACTAATCATCAGAGAAATGCAAATAAAAACCACTATGAGACACCACCTCACTCCTGTCACAATGGCTGTCATCAATAAATCAACAAACAAGTGTTGGCAAGGATGTGGAGAAAAGGGAACCCTGGTGCACTGTTGGTGGGATTGCAGACTGGTGTAGCCACTATGGAAAACAGTATCGAGGTTCCTCAAAAAACTAAAATTAGAACTACTTTATGACCCTGCAATTCTGTTCCTGGGTATTTACCCAAAAAAATTGAAAACATTAATTCAAAAAATTATATGCACCTCTAAGTTTACTGCAGCACTATTCACAAAAGCCAAATTATGGAAACAATTGAAATGCCCATCAATAGACAACTGGATAAAGAAATTGTGGTACATTTATACAACGGAGTATTACTCTGCCATAAAAAAGACTGAAATCTTACTATTTGCAACAACATGGATGGACCTAGAGTATATTAGGCTAAATGACATGTCAGACTGATAAGGACAAATACCATATGTCTCACTTATATGTGGAATCTAAAGAGTAGAATAAATGAGCAAACAAAACAGAAATAGACTCATAGATACAGAGAACAAACTGATGGATGCTAGATGGGAGAGGGGTTGGGGGATGAGTGAGAAAGGTGAAGGGATTAGGAAGTGCAAATTAGTAGTCATAAAACAGTTATGGGCATGTAAAATACAGTATGGGAAATATAATCAACAATGTTGTAAAAACTATGTGTGATATCAGATGGGTACTAGACTTCTCGGGGGGACCACTTCATAAGTTATATAAATGCCTAACCACACCTGAAACTAATATAAAGTAATATTGAATGCCAACTATAATTAAAAAAATATATATATATATACATATATATATATATATATA